AGTATTTCTTGGCAATATTAAAACACAGAACACCAGTCTTAACATCTCCAGGTCACCCTGCTGGGCTTTGTGAGCCAGGCAGCCACATCCACTGACTACGAATGGAGCCTCAACTCCATACCAGTGTTAGTGTTATAGATACCAAGACACATAAGACCTAACTCTGTCCTGTTCTAGGAACTTACAATTTACCGTGGAGGGATAGAACAGAAATTCCTCAGAATCACAAAACACAAAACAGAATGCCCAAAACTACAAAACAAAAAAGCACAAAATTACAAAACAAACAAAAAAAAAAAACACAATTTTAAGCTTTATTTTATTACTATATTATTTTGTTTTTTATTATTTTTTTCTGAGACAGAGTCTTACTCTGTCTCAGAAGTGAGTACAATGCCATGGTACCACTTGCAGTAGAAACTAATTATTCACACCTGCTTCCTCAGAATTCTCAGCTCACAGCTACACTACTAAGCCACTCATGGAGTTAGGTGTGGTTGTGTCACTGGGTTGTGGTCAATGGAATATGAAGGCTTTCACTCTTCATTCATAATATCCTAATATGTACTACCTTCCATTTTATTTTCTCTTCTATTGGCTGAAAGGAAAGGACCATAATGCTAGCCTGGAGGAGAGCAGAGTCACAAGATGGAAGGAGTCTGGGTGCCTGACTGACCAGGGTCCACTGCCCAAGAATACCCACTTGGGCTTTTCATAAACATTGAGATTCTTGAGTGTTTGTTTAGCAGTTAGCTTACTTTAACTAGTATCCAGGGCACAGAAATCACAAGTCACTACTTTTTTTTTTTTTAAGAGACAGGGTGTCACTCTGTCACCCAGGCTGGAGTACAGTGGAGCAATCTCAGCTCACTGCAGCCTCAAACTGCTGGGCTCAAACATTCCTCCCACCTTCACTTCCCAATAGCTAGGACTACAGGCACATGTCACCACATCCAGCTAATTTTTAGTTTTTAAAGGCAGTCTTACTGTGTTGCCCAACCTGGTCTCAAACTCCTGGCCTCAAGCAGTCCTCCCATCTCAGCCTCCCAAAACATTGTGTTTACAGATATGATCCACTGAGCCCAGCCGATACTTTTTTCAAATCCAAAAAGGCTTCTTCATAGAGAAGATGCCTGATTTCCCTTGGGGCTCATCCCACATTACATCTCAAATACTATGAGTACTACTTACATTTACAAATCAGGATATTGCCTTGTTGCTTTCTATGCATGTATTCATTCGTTCATTTTCCTCCTTTGAAAGGTCATTTTACCCTTATTTGGGTAATAATACTAGCCATACAAAGCACTAAGTTGCATGCTGCCAAATTCCAAATAGCTTATTGCTTTTAGAAATGGCCTCCCGCTCCTGCTTTCAGCAAATTCTTCTATCCTTTTGATAACTTAATTCATATCCTTTCCACATATTTATCCAAAGAGGCAGCTTTTTAATTCTGGCACAGTCACTCTTTTTTTTCCTCCTGGGCTTTGATACTACCAGATGCTAGAGGAAAAATATTCACAATATGCCTACAATCTATTTCAATATATGATTCTATCCAATTGAATGTCAGGCATTTCTAAAGAATGCTGTTAGTTGATATAACGTCCCTTGCCCAAGTTAAGTTTTCGATTTGAAATTGCGTATTGGAATGCCTTGTGTTACATTTTGCCCCAAATTTATAAATCTGTCATGGATTCTCCCTTTTGTTTTGCCTCCTTAATAGATGAACCACCAAGAATGAAGTTTAGCATGATATCTTGAGAAAGCAAAAGAAAATATTCTGCTTTTGAAAGGGAATGTACCCTTAGGCAAAAATTTTTAAAAAAATTCTCTGTCTCGTAAAACACGTTAGGAAATGCCAGTTGTCATGCATGCAGCTTAAGATGGATTAGGAGTCCATCACTGATCATGGAATAAATTCTTATGCTTTTAACGTTACATGTTCATTTGCAGCCAAGCAATTAGAAAAAAAAAAAACTGTGTTTGGCTATATTAGAATGTGTCAACCCTCTTAAAGTACTAGAAGTTTCTAGAAACAATTTAGGAGAATTTTTTTCAAAAGTATTTGGCAGGCCAAACTCATATCCCCATGAGTATACTAAATTTCTTCTCATTTGGGAGTGGAGGTAGGTAAGGGGGACCACTTGTGACCATATTATTCAAACACAGAGTAAATCTCTTTGCATGATTACATTGTCTTAATGAAGATGTTTTGCAGAAATCAGGATACTAGCTGCTTCTTTGAAATGGTTAAGTATAGACTTTAAACAATACTTTTAATGGAGTTTCTAAAAATTGCCAAATCAAGTGTGGTATTACTAGCGATGTGCTTCCCTTTTAGCTGTAGCTAAAAGAAGATATAGTTTACTTCTTGAACCTGAGAGTGACTTTGCATTTGTGTTAGTTTAAAAAAAAATACTTACTAGAAAAAAAATTAAAGTCCCAATAAAGTTTCTTCCAAAGTTGTGACGATATAATTGACATAAATTTAAAACACTTTAGGGACATATAACACTTACCTTACTTCATTTGAAAGGCCAACCAACGGGCAGCAGCTGCTTACTCCAGACTGATTTCTCTTTAAACATCAAGCGAATCGTTAGTTCTGGGTTTCAATAAACAGGGGACATAATCTGCTCCCTAATTTCCACAGGAAACTTCTGAAAATTAATGAAACTATTAATTTTCATTAAATTAATGAAAATTAATTAACTAATGTATGTAAGAGGTGGCTTTGAGGTGGCTAGATATTCTTGCACATGGGTACTGTTTTTAACCACTCATTCGTTCTTTCAGTCATTCAGCCAATAAGTATGGAGGATCTACAATTAATATTCGGCAATGAATAAAACAGAACATTCCTGCCCTCATGGAACTTATTTTCTTTTTCTTTCTTTCTTTCTTTTTTTTTTTTTGAGACAAAGTTTTGCTCTGTTGCCCAGGATGGAGTGCAGTGACATGATCTTGGCTCACTGTAGCCTCTGCCCACCGGGTTCAAGCAATTCTCCTGCCTCAGCCCCCCAAGTAGCTGGGATTACAGGCACACACCACCACGCCTGGCTAATTTTTGTATTTTTAGTAGAGACAGGGTTTCATCATGTTGCTCAGGCTGGTCTTGAACTCCTGACCTCAGGTGATCCGCCCGCAAAAGTGCTGGGATTACAGGCGTGAGCCACCACGCCTGACAGAACTTACTTGCTAATGGGAGATACAGATACTAAACAAGTAAATGGTTAAATATATAATAGAATTTTAGGAAGCAATAAAATTTTAAGAAATTTTGCTAAAAGCGAGGCAGTGTGAAGACCTATGAGAATATAAGGGTATGAGTGGGGTGATTTGACTCCTTTAGATCCAGGGGTCACAAGGAGGGGACATTGGAGAAGAGACCTCCATGAAGTGAGGGAGCAAGCCATGTGAACTGAGAGGAAAATCACAGGAAAGTCCTTGAGACTGGAGTGAACTCAGGGAGTTCTAAAAGCCAAGAGGCTGATGCGCTGGAGATCCTGGGGCTGGGAGCACATCGCAGGTGATGATCTGTGGACTGGGACCACATCGCAGGTGATGATCCTGAAGCTGCAAGTGGAGCAGGATCATATAGGACTTTGGGGCTGTAGTCAGGAGTCTGGCTTTTGTTGTAAGAGAAGTGAAAAGCTCTTGGAGGATTTGAATAGGCTAGCGACCAGTTCTTATTTACATTTCAAACACATCACTCTGGATATATGCAAAGGGTTAGCTTTGGATGAGTAGGGATGGACACAGGGGTGTGAGTTGGGAAGGTAGAGCTTGGGCCTCCGAGAGAGATGACAGTGGCTTGGGCTAGAGCCAAAGCAGAGCTGGTGGTGAGTAGACTCTGAGTGCATTTCAGAAAAGGACCAATAGAACTTGCTAATGGGTTTGATGTGGGTGATGAGGGAGAATGGAAGCAAGTGAGGCTGATTGCTAGGGTTTTTGCCTGAGACACTGGTGGAACGGGGATACCATTTCCTCGGGGAAAAGTGGTTTGGGGTTGGTAATCAAGTTTCACTTCGGGCGATTTTGAAATGCTTATTAGACATCTAAGTGGAGAAATCCACTAGGCAGTTGGATTTGTGACCTCTAGGGCAGGAGCCCAGGCTAAAGATAGGAATTTGGGGCCATCAGTATTTATAAGGGATTTAAGCCATTGGTCTCAGTGAAATTATCTAGGGAGAGAATATTGATATATAAGAGATACAAGGATGGGCTTGAAAAGTCAAGAAGGAAAAGCCAGCTACACAGGAGGCTGAGAGCCGAAGCAGGAGGAAAAGCAAGATGGCAGCGGGTCCCAGAAGTCAAGCAAAATCTAGTCTCCCAATATTAAGGAAAAAATGGAAGCAGCTGATTAACACCCTCTCAGGTCCTGCACCTTGACCTTCACTATTAAGAGGCTCCAGGACTTGCGCTGTATCTTGAGCAGTCAGGTGACACACTCTCTTCCTGGACTGAGGTGGGATGATATAGGTAGTTCAGAATTCAGCTCCAGAACCAGGCCACCTGAGTCCACATTCCAGATCTATCAGGAGCAAGCCATAGGGGCTTGCACAAATGACTTCCTCTGTGTCTTGGTCTCTTTGTCTTTAACTGCAAATGAGAGTCAAACCAACCTGTGGTTACTGTGAAGATGAAGTGAGTTAGGAGATGGCAAGTCCTTAGAACAGGGTGAATGTTTCATCAGCAGAAGATACTTTCCTGTTTACTAATGAGGATTTGTACTTGCTCAAGGTCATATGACTGGTAAGAGGCGGAGCTGCTATTGAGCCCAAGTTTGTTCAGCTGAAAATCTCAGCCCCTTTCCCACCCCTGTCACTGCAGCCTCCACCTGGTGGATTCAAGAGATTCTCCTGCCTCATGCTCTTGAGTAGCTGGGATTACAGGCGTCTGCCACCATGCGAGGCTAATTTTTGTATTTTTCAGTAGAGATGGAGTTTCACCATGCAGGCCAGGCTGGTCTCGAACTCCTGACCGCAAATGATCCACCCACCTCAGCCTCCCTGTGCTGGTATTACAGGGATGAGCCACCATGCCCAGCCAGATCTCAGCCTCTTAATCAGCTTGCTGTCCTGCCTCCACACAGGATTCAGGGAACTGAAGATAGTGCTTGACTTTCGCATGCAATAGGGGTGCTGGCGCAGCTCCTGCCAGCTCGCAGTGCCAGCTATGCACACGTCTTCCCAACTACCCATCAGCCAGGGTAGGGGTGTCAACAGATGCTACATTTAGGGATTCTCCCCGCACCGAGTCAGTCACAGTACTGTCCATGGAGAACCCCCCAGGAAGTCCAGACACATCTGTCAGTTAATCCCCATGGCAGGATGGTTTTGCTGATGCAGTCTGCTAAACGGGGACATTGAGGAACCAGGTATAGAGGCTTTCTTACATGACTAGTGGTGAAGTTCAGGTACAAATGGGTCCTCCTGACAGTGGGAAGACAGCTTTCACTAGCAAACCACGCTCACTGCACACTAGGTAGTTCTGAATGCCATGTCTCCAATAGCCCTTCTCATGCTGGGAATTTGCTGGTGCTGTTTATCTGTGTGGCCTTGTCCCGGTGAGCAGGCCTAACTGAGTATCACGGAGCCTAAAAGATGAGAAGCCTGCACAGCCACCTGCCTCCCACCTGACATTTGGCCCAAGGCAGTGGGCGTCACCCAGTCTTAGCATCTAGCGTGCCCTTGCCAGTCGCCAGGCTCCTTCCTGTTTTGAGCCTGAATCCATTTACCTGCAGCTTCCACTCCTTGGACGTGGCCCAGCCTTCCCCAGAATAAGGCACTGCCCTTTTCTACACCATCACTTTGAAACTGCCTGGGACACTCACTGTGCCCTCGATTCCCACTCACCCTCGAGGCTGTGGCCAATCTGAGTGGCTTTGTACCCCAGCTCCCTGTGGCTCACCCCAAATGCTGCCTCTCTGGGACACCTCTTGGTGCCATTGCTGTATGTCCTTTCCTCACAGCCGTTTGGTTCCACTGCCGTCGCTGTCCTGCCTGTCTCCCTGCTGCGACGCATGCCATGGAAAGGTGGTGACAGTCTGTTAGCGCCTAGCGTGGTGCCCAGTTCTCCATGAGTATTTGTTGAATGTGTGGCCATACCCAGTGGTGAGTCAGAGAGGCCAGGCCCCTCCCTCAAGGAAGTAATGACAGACTGAGACAAGTGCCATAAGCACAGTGCTGTGATTTTTTGGGGGGCAACACTCTAGACGGAGCGGTCAGGGGAGGCCTCCCTTGAGCTAAGACCTGGAGCTAATGAGTAAGTAGCTGGTGGAGAAGGGATGGCCGGAGGGACCAGCCAGAAGGAATCCCTGAGGCAAAAGGAGCTTGTCCCAGGAGAGGAACAGAAAAGAGCCCAGCACAGAGTAGAGCAGTGAAGGGGGCGTGGTGCGTGGGCCCTGGGAAGAGGTATGACTACCTTGCAAGTGCAGGGGAGGCTGCTGAAGGGTGTAGCGGGCAGGCGGCCTGATCCTCCTTCTGCAGGAGTGGGGCGAGCTCTTCTCTCTTGCCTGACTGGCCCGTGGGGAATGGGCAGAGGCAACCAAGGACCCCCTGGCACCTCGGCCTCTCCTCTCAGGCCCAGCCTCCCCTCCCCAGGCATCTCGGCCAGACTCTCCCCTTTCCCTGGGCCCAACACCAACCTTACACCTCAGTGTGACTTTCAGTCCCTCTTTAAAAGCTGTATATTCATTTTCCATGGCTGTGGTAACGAATTGCCACAAATGTGGTGGTTTAAACCAACACCAACGTGTGATCTTGCAATTCTACAGGTCAGAAATCCCATGGACTTGCTGCAGCTATTGAAGTGTCTGCAGGGCTGAGTTCCTTTCTGGAGGCTCTAGGGGAGAAGCTGTTTCCTTGCCTTTCCAGCTTCTAGCAGCTGCTGCATTCCTGGGTTCATGGCCCCTTCCTCCATGTTCAGAGCCAGTAATGACACGTCCCTCACACCCTTCTCCCTTCAGCTGGGAAAGGTTCCTTAATTTTAAGCATGTGTGTGATTAGATTGGGCCCACCTGGGTAGTCCTGGCTACTTGTCCCATCTCCAGCTCCTTATCCTAACTCAGCTCCACAAAGTCCCCTTGCCAGGTGAAGTAACATATCACAGGTAACATGGATTAGGACATGGACATCTTTGGGGGCCATTATCCTGCCCACCACAGGACTCCTAGATCTTAAAGGATCAATCAATCAAACACAATGTGTGAACTGTCAGGATGTAGATTCAAAAACTGACTTTAAAGGACATTGTTGAGACTATCAGGGAAATGTTCACGTGGGTATTTAGATGATATGAAGGACTTAGAGTTGATATTATTAGGTGTGTTAATGGGGAGATACATGTGGAGCACGCCCTGTGGAGAGGAAAGCCAACCAGGGCAAGATGCTGGCTCTGAGAACAGAGAGAACAGAATAAGACCCCTGTCTGCAAGCACCTGTCTGCCTGGGGGAACTTCAGATAGAAGTGGATGGTCATCAGCTGAGGAATATTTTTTTGAGGATGTTCTGTAGATACCCTGTGGAGATTTCAAAGAGGGAAGTGGCCCTACCAGCCAAGGGTTGACCAGCTACCTGGGAGATAACACGTAAACACATCAAAGGCGATTCACAGTTTAGAGAGGCAAATGGCAAGCCCTGTTAGGAACCCAAAGGGAGACAGGCTGGGAATTAGGAGCATCTACCTGGAGAAGCAGAAAAGACTTCAGAGGCAAAGGTTTGGAGACAGTGGGCAGACCAACCTCAGCAGGGCAGAAGGTCACAGGGTATCTCCACACTAGCTGGCCAGGGAGCTTGTGGATAACGCTGACATCTGCCAGGTGTTCCTGAGGCTGGGGACTGGTCTCCTGGGTTGGGGGCGTCACACTCTAGGAAATGGACTGGCACTCAGTGAGGCTGTGGGATGGAATGGGGCCAGCCAATGGGGTCCTTGAACGCTGGGCCAAAGATATGGAATGTGATTTTAGGGCCGGGAGTTGCTAATGGCTTTTGATTGAGAGAGTGGCTTAATGATAATTTTCTCTTAGGAAGATCAGTGAGAGAGCAACAGGCTGAAGGAATGAAGAAAAATACAAAGGAAATTGAACTTACATTAAAATGGAGTGAGAAAGGGAGTGTAAAGAATTTCATGACTGGATGGTGGACTCATGAGAGAGCAAAAGAGAGAAAGATGTGTAATGAAAGCCTTCATTTATTAAACACCACTATGGTCAAGGCATTCGCCTCTGAAATAATCCGTTGTATTCATGTAGTCTTCAACTTACAAATGATGAAAAAGAGGGTCAGAGAGATAAAATGACTTACGTAAGGACACACAGCTGGTCTGCAGTGGAGGTGGAGTTTTAATCCAGGTCTAACAGACTCCACATGCCAAGCACTCTCCCTTGGTCAGGTGACAGCGAGAGTCTATTCATTTTCTCTTGCTGCCTTAACAAATTGCCACAGACCTAGTGGCTTAAAACAACACAATTGTATGATCTTGGAGTTCTGTAGGCCAGATGTCAGACAAGGGTCTCACTGGGCTAAAATCAGGCATCAGCAGTGCATTTTTGGAGGTTCCAGGGGAGAATCCACCTCCTTCCCTTTTTCAGCTTCTAGAGGCCACTCACATTCCTTAACTCAACACAAGGAATGTGAGTGACCTCTCGAAGCTGGAAGCCCCGTTCCTCCATCTTCAAAACCAGCATCATTGCCTTTCTTGGACCTTTTGTCCTTAGCCACTTCTTTCTTTCTGACCACAGCCAGGAAATGTTCTGTGATTTAAAGGACTTGTGTCATTTGAAGCAGACGCCCGGAGAACCCAGGCTAACCTTCCTACCTCAGCGTTCATACCCTCATCTCATGTGCAGAGTCCCTTTTGCAATGGGAGGTAGTGTGTTCATAGGTCCCGAGGATTAGGATGTGGGCATCTGGGGGGCTGCGATGCTGCCCACCACACAGATGAGCCTGCTGTGTGGACATGTACCTCGGCAGCAGATGGGTGTACCCATAGCTCTCTTTCAGTAAGCCTGTGACAAAGGGAACTTTGTGTTGAATCAAAAATAATTAAATAGGCCAGGCACAGTGGCTCACACCTGTAATCCCAGCACTTTGGGAGGCTGAGGCGGATGGATTGCTTGAGCCCAGGAATTCGAGACCAGCAAGGCTAACATGGAGAAACCACGTCTCTACTAGAAACACAAAAATTACCCTGGCATGGTGATGCAGGTCTGTAATCCCAGCTACTTGGGAGGCCGAGGCACAAGAATCGCTTGAACCCAGGAGGCGTAGGTTGCAGTGAGCCGACATCGTGCCACTGCACTTCCAGCCTGGGAGACAGAGCCAGACTCTGTCTAAAAAAAAAAAAATTAAGTAAAGGACAAAAAAACAGAATTTGAAAAGAAATAATATTCAGAAAACAGAAAGAGCCTGGTTAGAGGAAGACCTGGTAGCAAGATACTGCACTGAACATTGTTCTAAGCACAGAACACATTCTGTGCAGTTACTCCTGCTGTCAGTTCCACTCTGCGTTGTCAAGGCTAGCAGCTACGCCATTCCCCTTCTAAGAGCCTGACTGCAGAAATAAAGGCAATGGCTAAGTCTGTGATTTAAGTGCTCGATTTTAAGTGAATTCCCCAAATTCTAGAGCTAAAACACCTGTTCTTTGTCTGAGGCAACTGTCTAAAATCTGCGTGTCTCTCCAACCACCTACTCCTCTATTTTTTTCATGAGTAACCATCACCTTAGCAGGCAGATGCTCCTTTGTTCCGAGAGTAAGTTTTAGAAATAGACAAGTAGAAAGTACCAATTTTATGGAAATCATCTGAATTGATAGGATTGTGGAAGCATGAATAAAAAGTGCAGGCTATAATAAAATTATTAGAAAACAGGGAAGCAAATGGGTTAAAGTTCAATATAATCCTTTTTTATTTAAAAAAATGGTCATATCATTGATTCATCTGAAATGTAATAGACTGAAGAGCCTGTCGTAACATGATAAGTTTAGAAATACACGAGTCTCTTTTTGGTTTCTCTTATTTTATATAAAAAGAGACATAGTATGTGGTATTTAATTACCAACCTTTCAAAGAAAGAAAAGGGTGACTTAGAAACATTAACATTCATGTACTTTGGGCAATAAACTTCCAAGCTTATTGAAGAACCTCCTGGTTTTTCAGTTATTTTGATGATTGAATATAGAATCAGTATTAGAAATTGTTGGGATGAGAAATTAGAAGACTACTCAACTGCACATGAAGACATTTACATTTGACACCTCTCATTTCCTTATGAAAGAAGACGGATTTAATTAACTGCATGTATGACTACTGTGTGCATTCTGAGGTGAATCTAGCAGTTAGATCAGCTCCCAGGAAGAGCTCAACATAAATAAGCTCTTCAGGGAGAAAAGGCAAAACAAACCAAAACTTTGAACACTTAAAAAATGAAAGCCACATTTAGACATGTTTGGTTACCATCGACTTTAATGGGAACTACTTGTCTATTTCTGGGAACCAGAATATGACGTTGGTGGGGGAAGTCTGAAACGAAAAAAGGAAAGATAAAAAGATGTGCTGTGCATCAATGCGCACAGACGCCACAAAGAACTACATATTGCAGGGGATAAGTGAATACCCACATTTTGTTAATGAAGACTGCTGTTATCTCTGAGAGAATGACTGAATGCTGCTACATTGTGGTTACAAACTTTAATTCTGAAGAAGAAGCAGGGCTGGTTTCAACACTATTTGCAAATTGCTAATTGACAAGAGGAAAGAAATTACAAAATGACTGGACTCACCTCCATTCTGTGGGTACACACACACGTGCGTGCACGCGCAAAGGAAGGCCAACAAATAGGCATGAAAAGTATCTTATTGGCATCATGTTTCTGGCATTGCTATAACTACGCGCAAAACAAGCGATACATGAAACGGTAGTGACATCTGTTCTAGAATCTGTGGGGCTTTACTCACAAAACAGTTGTAAAATCTTTGGGGGACAAAAATATTTCTGTGTATCTATACAGATGCTTTCCTCTAAGGGACACACACACACACACACACACACACACAGACAATCACATGCAAATGAATATGTGTTTACCTGAAAAGACAGAAATAAGGAAAGGAAATGTCATCCACTTCTCTAAAAAACTTGTTTAATATTTTCCTTTCAAATGAAGCTACATTTATTGCTTTAGATGTACCTTTTCTTTCTTTTTTCAAAATCCTAGAACATATTGCCATGAAGCTAAGTTTAAGATTCCAGTTAGTGGGTTGCGGTAACATACAAGTAGATGCTAAATGTGTTTGTTTTGATTTGCCAGGAAAATATCTTCTGAGCTTGGAAATGAAATCATTTAGTTGTCTTTTTGTTTATGGCCAAAGACTTATGGGGCATTCTGGATACTTATGTTAGTGTATCTTTAAAATTCTCTAATCCTCAGCATGTGGGAAGTTACGCAGCTTGGATTTAAGCATCATTCAGGATGTTCTTCATTAAGGAACCCGGATTTGCCTCCTGCCCACAACTCCCCAAGATTACTTTACATTTATTACACAGCAAATTGTCCATGTTGAAAGTGAACTGCAGACTGTAGGATTTGAACACCTTGTTATCAATTTATCCTCTCAGTAAATATAAAGTTTAGAGCTTGCTTCTTAATTTGGCTTCAAGTAAGTCTTCCAAAATGAAGGTTATTTGATTTTTCTCTCACTCCAAAGTGTCTTTTAATATTATATAGCATATTTATAATTTTTTGAGTTTTAAAGTAGCTGGTCTCTAGTTTAAACATGAGGCTATTGTTGATTTTACCATCTTCTAGACAGGTTTGGAGATGTGTAGTAAAACATTTTTGTGGACTGTTAAATTTTAGTGTTTGCTCACAAAGCCACTGCATTATATGTTCTTTGAAATTATCGATCTGGTAGCAAAAGCTCATTCTGCTTGCTGACTTCAGTATATACTTGGGTCTTGCTAAATTAGTGTGGCTCTTACAGGTACTGATGTGATCCTATTGTGGACATTTTCATGTAGAAAGAGAAGCAAACTCATTTCTTTCCATGCCATTCTTTCATCTGTAAAGTGTTGTTTCTGGGAAAATAGGGGGTGATGAGGTGTGAGGGGAGAGCCCTGATTCCTTGAGCTCATGGCGAGCAGCGGAGGCAGTCGCTCTGAAGGGTTTTGCCCGTACCTGCGAGCGGGATACATGGGCAGCCCTGCCCACTGTTTTCCTGAAGGTATTGAGCTTGTCGTTATCTGTACATCACAGTTAAACCCTCACCCTTGATTTTTGTTCGCCTCACCTTTGCAATCCCAGTACCTCTTCTCACTGCAGCGTCCTGCATGTCATGCGCCCAGCAAAAACCCTGAGGCTTTTCCCTCCTGCCAGAAGCCACGGGAAGGTACGAAATGAAAGTCTTTTCAGAAAAATGGAGAAGAGAGACAAGCAGAGCGAACAAGACCCTCAGAATGTGAAGAAAGGAAGAATCCAGTACAGCTAGTGCTCAACTTACGACCACGATTGGTTCCGACAGACCGGTCGTAACACAATTTGTTAGTAAGTTGAGTAGGCTATATGTACAGTACTGTGAAATGATGTTATAAAAATCTTTAAGTCATATTTTATCATAATTTTCTTTCATTATTGTCATGTATCATAATTTTCTTTGTTCATTTTATGCCATTTGTATCATCTCTACACCATTTTGTTTCTTATTTTTACATTCGTCAGGTTTACGTAAAACACTGCATTACCAGTACAACTGGTTTAATATTTGCAAAACATACAAAATTACAAAATACAACTGCATACAAAAATACAAAATACCGGTGTAAAAAATACCATAGGAAACATTTTCCCAATTGCAAAACATATCAAAATCTATAAACATGTACGAAATATTTTATTGGCCGCTGGTGCTTGGCTGCGGATCGTTGATGTCGTCATCTGAGGCAGCAGTTGGGGTTACCGGAGTTGGTTTTTTCATAAACATGGTGAGCTTTGTCTGAATTGTATGTCTCTTTTTTTCTTCAAAAATTTCACGATACGGGCGAAACACGTGGTGCGCCATCCGTTCCATCCTTGCAAATCGTTCGATGTTTGGGTCCATTGCTTCGAAATGTATAAGAAGTTTATTGGGAGGGGTTTGATGAAAAATATCGGCGCTGCCAGACGCGGAGCAGTTGTGGCTAGCGATTGTGGTCGTAAAGTCGAATGGTCGTAAGTTGCATAGGTCGTAAGTCGATCAATACCTGTAGTCTTGTTTGTGGCCATTGGGTAATAAAACCCAAGTGACAAAATAATTACTCTAGCCATTTAGTTTTAGCCAAAATTGCAAGTGTTACAGAGGTGCTGAGCGAAGCCTCGGAAGCCAACCCAGGGCTGGGGGCGGACTGCCAACGGGAAACTGTGTGCTCCCCACAAAACAATCCTTTTCTAGAAGATGGAGATAACTTTCTGAGCTTACCTCCAGTAATTATTGATGAGAAACAATTAATAGAATGAGTATGGAAGAGGTAATAAGAGTAATTTTGAAATATTAATATTAAAAGAAGCTCTGCTGAAATCAGGTATGCTGAATGTGAACAGTTTTAAATTTGGAGGAAATAAGAGACATGAGCCATGCCTGTGATCCCAGGTCTTTGGGAAGCCAAGGCGGGAGGGTTGCTTGAGCTTGGGAGTTTGAGACTAGCCTGGATGACATAAGCAGGACTTTGTCTCTACTAGAAATAAAAAAAAATTTAGCCAAGTATGGTGGTGCCTGCCTATAGTCCCAGCTACTTGAGAGGCTGAGGTAGGAGAATCGCTTGAGCTTGGGAGGTCTAGACTGCAGCGAGCCGTGATCACACCACTGTACTCCAGCCTGAGCAATAGAGCGAGACCCTGTCTCAAAAAAAAAAAAAAAAAAAAAAGAGAGAGGCCTGAGTAAGAATGTATGTTGGTTTCAAATCTTTGCTCTACCACAGTGACCTTAAGTAGGTTACTGAATTCTCTGAGCCTCTGTTTCCTTATGGGTAGGAACTATCTCACAAGGCTGTGATAACACCTCAGG